AGCTTCCACAGTGGTGATGAGGCGGTTGGACTCCAAGTCCAGCACGGTCCAGCCCTTGCTCGCAGCTAACACACCCAAGTGCAACCCCCAGCGAGCCTTAGGCGCCAGCTTCCCCCCACGCTGTGACTGTGGTACCATGTACTGCAGCATGCAGCCCCAAACACGCACCATACTGACATCAGGTTTGCGTCGGAAGGCGAGCTCGTACGGCGTCACACCAGAGGGTAGTGAGGCGTGCTCCACGCGGTTGTGCACCCAGACGGCCTGCGCCAACGCCAGGTGCCACCAGTGATGCTGCACACCCATGTGCAGCAACATCGCCCGCACCGCCTCCACAATGCTGCGCATCTCCCTCTCGGCCATCCCATTCTGCTCCGGCGTGTATGGGCATGTGAGGTCATGGATGATGCCTTTGCCGTCGAGGAAGAGCATGAAGTCGTGCCCCAGGAACTCGCCACCCCGATCAGTGCGCAGCGCCTGCACCGTGGTCTTGCACTGTCGCTCTGCCATCGGGAGCCACTTCTGGAACGCCGCCAGCGCATCACTCTTCTGGGCCAAAGGGTAGGCCCAGACATATCGCGTCTTGCGATCCTTCAGCACCAAGAAGTAGCGGCTGCCGTCCTTAGCTGCTTCACGGAAAGGGCCACACAGGTCAGCATGCACCACCCCGAGCAACTCATCCTCCTCCTCTCCCACAGAAGGAAAGGTATGACGAGTGATCTTTCCCCAACACAGGAGACACAAGGTATGCCTGACTTGCCCCCCTTCTCCAAATCCAAGCCCTTCACTGACCCGTGAGCCGCTGTGCGCTCGATGGCATCAATACCAACGTGTGCCATACGCGCATGCCACAGGCCCCCCTTAGACCGCACGCCCGTCGCCAAGGTACGAAGTGCCACCGTTTCGCCTTCCTGCTGCTGCGTCAAACACGGCTGGAAGTTCGTGCAGAGAACACGCCCCTTGAACTCCGCACGACCAAGGAGCGATCCATCTGGTGCCCGCAGCAAAGTCACATCCCCGGCATCCAGCAGCTGCACACCACTATCACGCAGCTGCCCAGCAGAGAGAAGACTCGCCTGCACTCTTGGTACGTACAGCACGTCCGGCACCAAGACACGCCTGCCCCCCTCTCCAAGAAGAGTGACTGTGCCTCGCCCCTGCACCTCCTGAAGGGCGTCGTTGAAGCCGGTAACCTGTTTAATACTGCCGCCGCTGCTCATCTCCACAAAGGCAGAACGATCTCCCATGAGATGGTGGGAGCATCCGCTATCAAGTAGCACGACACTCGGGTTCGCCTTTACAGCAGCTGCAACAGCCTGTAAGCCTTCTCCGGCTTCAGGCTCCAGCACAACGAGAGGAGTCTGCTCCACAACGGGCTTCACCATCGCACATGATGACTGCCCGCTCCCCTTAGAGCCCTCACCCCCCTTTCCGCTGCTACCTCCAGAACCCTCTCCACTAGCGTCTGCCTCCTTATCCGCCCGCTGCTGACAGTACTTAGCAACATGCCCTGTCTGTCCACACACATAGCACTTTCCCTTGAAGCCCCCTTTCCCCCCCTTCGGCTGGCCATCCTTACCCCCTTTCCACTTCTCCCCTCCCCCACCAGCCCCACCCCCATTCTTAGGCTGCTGCTGCTGTGCCGTAGTGGGAGGGGAAGGGAATGAAGTCTGCTGGAATTGGGGCTTACCCTTCTTGGTAAAGACCTGGTTAGCCTGGGGAAGGAATTGGTCCTTTCGTCCCTCTGCTGCCAGCGTACACTCCTCCTCGATGATGTAGCTAGCGAGGGTGTCTTTGTCCAACTCCTTGCGCACCTGCGGCAATTTCAGCATCCTGCGTAAGAGTTTGTACTGCTGCGTCAACCCCTTCACAACGTGAGTGATGTACGACGCCTGCGAGTAATCTACGCCGGCCATCCTCATGTTCACTAGGATCTGCTGCGCACGGTTGCAATATGACGTGGCGGACTCGTGCTCTCCCATCTCGAGGTTAGTGAGCGCCTGCTCTAACTGACCGATGTACAGATCGTCCTTCGCCATGTACGTGCGCATAATAAACTGCCATGCCTGATAGTCGGCATCTACCCTCATGCGACACGCCTTAAGGGCGATCTGTACGGTTGGGGAGCAGCATCGGGAAATGGTGGTGAACGTCAGCAACTGCATCGCGCGGAACTGGGAGAGATGCGCAAGTGCACGCGCAGGTGGAATGGGGGTGGTGCCATCTATGAATCGTTTTAGCTGAGCGATCTCAAGCTGCGGCTCGATTGATTCTGTCCACGTCGACAGGTCGTGACGTCCTTCTAACGGCCTAGGGACAACGATCTTGTCTGGAGTGAATCTGAAGTAGCCATAGTTGGGGGCTATTCCCTCGTCCCTCGACATCGATCCAATCGGGGTAACGCCCGGCATAGCCTCACTATCGTACTCTTCCGCATTTCCTCCTCCAGCAACGCTCCGCCGTCCTACATTCGCATGCTCTCGTGACGCTGCTGCACGATGAACACGCTCCTGTACACCGCCGACGCTAGCCGTACTAAACCGAGTTGGTCCTCGCAGGACCCCACGCGACATCAACCCATCAAGCTCCTCGTCATCGCTATTTCCGCCATCGACAGCCATATCCCACGCACTAGTACCTCCCGCAGCTTGCTCAACATTCTCTACACGTGGCGAAGGGTGCTCACGACACCGACGCGAGCGCAATCCCTCCAACATTAACTCGTATTCGACATCACTAATCTCACCACGAGAATGTCGAGCCACGAGATCCTCCTCTAGGGCGCGCAAATTACCGGCCTCCACGTTCGCCTCCTCCGTACTCATCCTCTACGACGTCTCTATAAGGTACCACAAATTAAAATAAATTGTCCCTTCCTTGAATCCCTCGTCTCGGGGTCACCTCACAAGGGTCCTCAGACGAATGGTAATAAATTACCAAGCGCCCTATCCTTGGGTCCGAGAATGTAACTGGAGGGAAATCAAGAGAGGTTCAACTTAAATTAATAAGCGCCCTTCACTAACGCCGCACGCCAAGGCGAGTATACGAACGCGGATATCAACGACGACGAAAATCTATGCGTGTTCGTTCCACGCTCACCGCACCATGATGGCATATATTAGAGAGCGTAGCGATAACGAGAGAGTTTCTGCTATGAGAATGATGTTGCGCCAGCAACTTGGTAGAGTTTCGGTACAGTTTGCCTCTAAGGACTTAGTGAGGATTGAAGTAGCATTTGGGCCAAGTAGAATTGCAATATCAATTATGAATACAAAAGCAAACACACAACTAGATATAGGCTACGGGAAGGTTTCACAAAGTTGGCGTGGCACTGCGCAGTAACCCAACCCCACGAAAGTGGTGTGTGGGTGAGCGAACGCGCCTCGTCAACTTCCCAACCCAACTCAGCAGGGAAGTCAATGCCGAGCTCGCCAATTCTCCCAGCACAACTAGAAATGGCGAGACTCACAGAGAATCACCCACAACCACCAAGACCACCCAAGAAGCATGCCCACGATTTCCCTAGACTAACACCACCCCAGCAATGACTGTTTAGTGCTGCCGTTGTCACATCGCGTCACTACGCAACCATCGCCAAATCATAGGGTCGGTGCTGGACTGCTCGTCTTGGTCTTTCATAGTCGACCTGCCAAGTCAAACGGTCGTCGAGGGCCCTTGCTGTCGTAGGGCCCTCTAACAGTCATAGCTATTTATCTGTCAGCGCGAGGCTGCTCACGAAGATCCGTCGTGAGGCATCAAGAGGCGCGACTTGCGAGGTGTGCTACTTTGTTCTCTATTAACATACGGTATTTAGACGTTCATAAAAACGTCCTTCCAAAGGGAAACAACCTCCCATGCTGATCGCGATGAGCAGAACTTGCGAGCTGCGACATGTCGCACTTCTTTCGCGGAATGTTTTCGTTGGATCGCTTGTACGCACTGTGACCTGTCCCATGCCACAAACACAGGATCTTCTTGTCACGGAAGCCAATTACAGAACAAGAAGCTGCATTGTTGCAGATTTGATTCTGCCCGCACAGTTTTATTCCTCGAACACATTCGCTACTCGCACAAGATGGCTGCCCAAAGCAGAATTCCCTCCCTCCCATCCCAGTCGCCAGACTTTTATGGGCAGCCAAGCCCCATCGCGGTTCATCAGCCAGGTTCACACACTGATGAACAAACACCAACCCCATTTCCAGCACAGATGAACGCATTCCTCGGTGTTCACACTGCCGCCGCATTCCTCGCTTCATTTTCAACACCAACCCCATTTCCAGCACAGATGAACACATTCCTCGGCGTTCGCACTGCCGCCGCATTCCTCGCTTCATTCTCAACACCAACCCCATTTCCAGCGCGAAGACCGACGATTGTGCTGTGACCCGTTCCAGCCACACGCGATCGCGTTCCTTAGCGCTCCTATCGGAACTGCGAGCGTCGAGCGGTGGGCTCTCCCACTGGGAGCGTCCGAATCTCGTTTATAAGTCACCTGCTAGATCAGCCATGGACTCAACACTTCTGCCGCGTCTGCCATATCTTAGTAGTAGCGCCATGAGTCATACCACCGACTATCTATACCTGTATCAGCTATATACCGCGTCCCCCGAGAGTTTGTCGCTTGTCGCCGGAGGCTCCAGTCACTCGGTTGTGCGCGCACCCAGCTGACGCGGCAGTCGGACCCGCTGATAATCATGGCCGCTTCCCCTCCCGCGCTGCTTCCTTTCCTCGTCCTTACCGCCATCTGCGGTGAGTCCGTTCTAGTTTTGAGACGTCTCAAATCTTTTAGACGTTTCAAAACGTCTCTTTTAGACGTCCGTTACTTGTCCTTGGCGTCACCTCCGGTGAGTCGTTAATATCATTGTCTCTCTGCTTCGGCTGCCGCGTTTTCTCAAGCTTCAGAAACGTGCACGCTCTAACCCCCTCGCCCCTCTGCTCTCTCTGGCCCCTCTGCTCTCTCTCGCCCCTCTGCTCTCTCTGCGTCCAGCGGTCGCCACGGCTCACGTGGCGGCAGGCGAGCGCGGCGCGGATCGCCTGAACGCGGCGCGCATGCGAGTGGGCGGAGCGAGCAGCACTGTGACTGCGAGGAGGAGCCTCCAATTGAAGAGCAGATTTAATACATTCATGGCTGAGCAGATTTAATACATTCATGGCTGAGAAGATTTAATACATTCATGGCTGAGCAGATCTAATACATTTATGGCCGTGGAAAATGGGAATGCCGAGATGCCAGCGGGAGTTGGGGTGGGGGTTGGGATGGGGGGAGACAGCACGGGCGGGGCAGTGAAGGCAAAGGTGCAGGTGGCCACGCAGGTCAACGTGGTGCCAGCTCACCGCCTCGTCAGCTTTGACGCCCCAGCCACGTGCGTCACCCTTGAGCCTTCTGCCCAGGCGTCTCTCAGCGAGGCGAGCCAGGGCGTGGAAGTGTTGTGGCGGGGAGCGCCGTGGCAGAGCAACAGCAAAGGGAGGCGACAAGCGGTGTGCACCAAGGTCACGTTCTTCGAGAACGCAGCCTGCCAGGGCGTGCCGGTGGGCGAAGCCGTGAAGCCGCAAGTCCCCAATCTGAAGAAAAACTTCCCGAGGCCCAGGTGGGTGATGGTGATGCGTGCAGGTGGGTGATGTGACCAGGTGGGTGATGTGGCCAGGTGGGTGATGTGGCCAGGTGGGTGATGTGGCCAGGTGGGTGATATGGCCAGGTGGGTGATGTGGCCAGGTGGGTGATGTGGCCAGGTGGGTGATATGGCCAGGTGGGTGATGTGGCCAGGTGGGTGATGTGGCCAGGTGGGTGATGTGGCCAGGTGGGTGATGTGGCCAGGTGGGTGATGTGGCCAGGTGGGTGATGTGGCCAGGTGGGTGATGTGGCCAGGTGGGTGATGTGGCCAGGTGGGTGATATGGCCAGGTGGGTGATGTGGCCAGGTGGGTGATATGGCCAGGTGGGTGATGTGGCCAGGTGGGTGATGTGGCCAGGTGGGTGATGTGGCCAGGTGGGTGATGTGGCCAGGTGGGTGATATGGCCAGGTGGGTGATGTGGCCAGGTGGGTGATGTGGCCAGGTGGGTGATGTGGCCAGGTGGGTGATGTGGCCAGGTGGGTGATGTGGCCAGGTGGGTGATAGTGGCCAGGTGGGTGATGTGGCCAGGTGGGTGATATGGCCAGGTGGGTGATATGGCCAGGTGGGTGATGTGGCCAGGTGGGTGATGTGGCCAGGTGGGTGATGTGGCCAGGTGGGTGATGTGGCCAGGTGGGTGATGTGGCCAGGTGGGTGATGTGGCCAGGTGGGTGATGTGGCCAGGTGGGTGATGTGGCCAGGTGGGTGATGTGGCCAGGTGGGTGATATGGCCAGGTGGGTGATGTGGCCAGGTGGGTGATGTGGCCAGGTGGGTGATGTGGCCAGGTGGGTGATGTGGCCAGGTGGGTGATGTGGCCAGGTGGGTGGTGCCATTGTCGTGAGCCACTGTAAGGGCTGTTGTGCCTCGGGTTATGCTTCTTTATGATCAACAGCTTCTTAATCTTTTTTCTATTGTATCCGATCAACATGTCCTCTGAACGTGTTGTTCCACTCGTCCTTGCGAGTTTTTCCTCTTCATCCCCAAATTCGCTTCTCTTTCCTGCGAGGCTGGTGCGTACCTTGCCACCTTGCCACCTTGCCACCTTGCCACCTTGCCACCTTGCCTCCTTGCCACCTTGCCACCTTGCCACCTTGCCTCCTTGCCACCTTGCCTCCTTGCCACCTTGCCACCTTGCCACCTTGCCACCTTGCCACCTTGCCACCTTGCCACCTTGCCACCTTGCCACCTTGCCTCCTTGCCACCTTGCCACCTTGCCACCTTGCCTCCTTGCCACCTTGCCTCCTTGCCACCTTGCCACCTTGCCACCTTGCCTCCTTGCCACCTTGCCACCTTGCCACCTTGCCACCTTGCCACCTTGCCTCCTTGCCACCTTGCCACCTTGCCACCTTGCCACCTTGCCTCCTTGCCTCCTTGCCACCTTGCCACCTTGCCACCTTGCCACCTTGCCACCTTGCCTCCTTGCCCCTTGCCACCTTGCCTCCTTGCCACCTTGCCACCTTGCCTCCTTGCCTCCTTGCCACCTTGCCTCCTTGCCACCTTGCCACCTTGCCACCTTGCCTCCTTGCCCTCCTTGCATCCTTGCCACCTTGCCACCTTGCCACCTTGCCACCTTGCCACCTTGCCTCCTTGCCACCTTGCCTCCTTGCCACCTTGC